AGCTGTCATTGTTATTTGGTGGCCCAGGCTGGATTCGAACCCACCGCCTTAGGTGTATGTGGCTGGCGCCTTAGCTGCTTGAGCCACAGGCGAGCCAGCTCTGTTTATTTTTCTGCAGTATTTTCTCTCTGTTCTTTAAGTTGGATAATTTCTTTGAGCTGCCTTCAAGTTACTGAGTCTTTCTCCTCTACCAATCTTTTGTTAGCCCATAGGTGGACTCTTCATTTCAGATGTTATACTTCTCTAGGATTTCCATTTAGTTCCTTTTTAGTTTTTAATTTTTGCTAAGAATTTGTGTGTATTTATTCACTATTAGCACATTTTTCTTGAAGTCCTTTATCTCATTCACAGTAGCTATTTTTGTGGTCTGTTATTTGCAACATCTGGGCCAGATGTTGAGATTTGTCTTTATCGACTGCTTTTTCTCTTAAATATGGGCTGTATTTACTGTGTCTTTGCATGCCTCGTAATTTTCAATTGTATTAAAAGTGGACATTATGAATCATGTTATTCAGAGACGTCAGGTTCTGTTCTGTTGCTCTGAAGGATGTTAATTTTTGATCTAGCAGGTAACGGTTAATTTATTTGTACTCCAAATCTGGTCTCCTCTGCATTGGGCATCAGCCAAACTTCTTACTCAGTTATTTCAAATTCCTGTTGCTGTTTCTCACGTGTTCCGCTGGGGGCTCCCTAGTGCCTGTGTCGCTCAACCGTTAGCCAAGTACATGTGCTGGGTTTATTTATGGAGTTTTGGTGTTCACCCCATTCCTGCTGTTCCTTTTCTTACAGGATTTCCCTCTAACAATCCAGTTACTTTTCCAGCCCCAGCTCTCTCCTCTGACACACAAAACCTCTGTGACTGTGGTTTTCTGTCATCCTTACCTGCACTTAGGAAGAAAGCGGCCTCAGGCAAATAGCTGCAAACCTCAAATTTTACTAGGTGGCGTTCATGGTTTTCAAGATCCCTTCTAGTTTCTGCCTGCATTTGAATACTCTCCGGTGCCTCCTAATAGTTTTATTTATATTTTGGTCAGATTATATCGTTGTTACTTGAGGGAAGGTTACTCTGTCATTTCTTTCCCTCAACATTTGAGCGTCCCCTCAGCATTGCCGAATCATGAGATCTGGTAGGCTGAATAATCATTCCCCCACAAAGATGTCCACATCTGCACCCCTGGATGCTGGGAATATGTTGCCTTATATGGCAAAAGAGACTTCGACGTGATGCAGTTAAGGATCTTGAGATGAGAATGTTATCCTGGTTTCTACAGGTGAACCCAATGTAATTAAAATAAGAGAGAAAAGAAGGTCAAAGGCAGAGGAGGGAGACGGGAGGATGGAAGGAAAGTTCAGAGGGACACTTTGGAGATGGAGGAAGGAACTCAGGGAACGTCGGCGTCCCCTGGAAGCTGGGGAACACACGGAAATGGGTCTTGCAGCCTCCAGAAGTAGCACCCCACCCCCTACATCTTGATTTTAGACTCTGAGTCACATCAGATTTCTCATCTCCAGAACTATAAGACAATAAATTCATCTTCTTTTTGGTCAATAAGTTTATGGTAATTTGTTACAGTGGCAGCGGAAACGAATTCCCGGGGCAGCAGTGAACAAAACCACACGCAGGCTTTGTTAGCAGTGCTTTCTTCTGGAATAATTCCTGAAGGATCTGCCTGAGGCTGTTTTATAGTTCACTTTTCTTCGTAAGTGGAAGGAGTACATCCTAAAACAGTGGTAAGCATATAGCACAGCAAGTACACAAACCGGTAACACAGTGTTTCTTGTCGTCCTCAGGTAGTACATCCCACACACCAGCTTACGTGTTATACTTTTAGATGACTGGCAGGGCAGTAAGTTTATTCACACCAGTGTCATCCCAAACGCATAAATAATATGATGTGCCACAACTGTGGGAAGTCACAGTATCGCTAGGTGGTAGGATTTTTCAGCACCATTATAATCTCGTGGGACCACCACTGTAGATGTGGTGTGTTGTTGAGGAAAATGTCATTATGTGGTCAACGTGCAGAGAGAAAAAAAGGACAGAGAAAGAGAACTTGGAATATGTAGTATACACACTTGAGTGCAGGACTATGAAATAGCACCTGGTAATAGTAAGTTGTAAATGCCGTATAGATGGTCGGGCTCTGTATGGTAGTTCAGTTTAGGGGTTTTCAACTTTAGGATGGTGTGAAAGTGATGGGCGTTCAGTAGAAAGCATTCGGACACTTTGGAACCTGGAAAGTGACAGGCAGCCACTGCTCCCATTCAGCCACAGGGTCACGGGGGCCCACAGCTGATACTCAATAGTGTCCCATGTTGCCAGATGATTTGCCCAAATGTAGGCTAACGTAAGTGTTCTGAGCATGTTTACGGTAGGTCAGGCTAAGCTATGATGATTGGTAGGCATATTAAATGCATTTTTGACTTAATATTTCAAGTTATGATGGGTTTATCCAGACGTAACCTTATTGTAAGTTGAGAAGCATCTGTATAGTATTGGCTATTGTTATCTGGTAGCACTGTCCAATAGAATTAAAAAAAATTAAATTTTTTTTAGAGCTAGGGTCTTGCTCTCTTGTCCAGGTTGGAATATAATGGTGCGATCGTAGCTCACTGTAATCTCAGACTCCTGGGCTCAAGTTATCCTCCTGCTGGGACTACAGGATTGCACCACCATGCTGAGTTAATTTATATTTTTCTTTTCTCCTTTCTCTTCTCTTCTTTCCCCCCTTCCCTTCCTTTCCTTCCTGTACTTCCCTTCCTTCCTTCCTTCCTTCCTTCTATTGCTTGGAAGGATGTTAATTTTTTTTTTTTTTGGCCAGGGCTGGGTTTGAACCTGCCACCTCCTGTATATGGGGCCAGTGCCTTACCCCTTTGAGCTACAGGTGCCGCCCAGGATGTTAATTTTTGTTCTAGCAGGTAGTGGTTAATGTGTCTGTATTCCACATCCGGTCTCCTCTGCATTGGGCATCAGCTGAACTTCTTACTCAGTAATTTCAAATTCCTGTTGCTGTTTCCCACATGTTCCCGTGGGGTCTCCCTGGTGCCCGTGTAGTGCATGCTCCTTCCTTCCTTCCTTCTCTTCCCTTCCTCCCTTGCCTGCTTCTCTCTCTCTTTCTTTCTTTCCTTCTTCTCTCTCTCTCTCTCTTTTTCTTTCAATAGAGACAGAACCTTGTGCTATGGCCCAGGCTAAGTGCAGTGGCACAATCATAGCTCACTGGAACCTTGAAGTCCTGGGACTCAAGCAATCCTCCTGCCTCAGCCTCCCAAGTAGCTGAGACTAGAGGCATGTGCCACAACACCAGGCTAATTTTTCTTATTTTTTGTAGATACAGGGTCTCACTATGTTGCCCAGGCTGGTCTTGAACTTCTGGCCTCAAGCGATCCTCCTTTGGCCTCTCAGAGTACTGGGATTACAGGTGTGAGCTACCACACTTGGCCCCAATGGAAGTTTTTGTGATGAGGAAAATGTTATTTATGTGAAATAGCCGATATGGTATACACTAGTCACAGGTGGTTATTGAGTATTTTTTTTTTTTGAGACAGAGCCTCAAGCTGTCCCCCTGGGTAGAGTGCTGTGGCATCACAGCTCACAGCAACCTCCAGCTCCTGGGCTCCTGCCTCCGTCTCTCAAGTAGCTGGGACCACAGGCGCTCACCACAACACCCAGCTATTTTTTGGTTGTAGCCATCATTGTTGTTTGGCGGGCCCGGGCTGGATTCGAACCCGCCACCTTAGGTGTATGTGGCCGGTGCCTTAGCCACTTGAGCCACAGGTGCCAAGCCGGTTATTGAGTATTGAAAGGTGACTAGTATGACTGAGGCATGGAATTTCAATTTTATTTAATTCTAATTAACTTAAATTTATTATCCACATGTGGCTAGTAGCCCTATTGGAGGACATGGGTATAGGGCTTGGAGGAGAGGCCAGGCTGGAGCTGTAGATGGAGTAATCACTTATTAGATGATAGGTGAAGCCACAGAATGGGGGA